TGGAGTCGGAAACGAACAGAGGGAAACGAAGGGCGAGGAGGTGAGAAACGAGAAGGCGCGAACCGGAAGCGAGAGGCGAGGCGAGGGTTCGGTCCGGCGATGAAAGGCGAGAAGTCAGAACCGAACGGACTGTAGTGAACAGTACCTTCGGTTCGGTTGGTGAACAGTACCTTCGGTTCGGTTTGGTGAACAGTACCTTCGGTTCGGTTTCGGTTCCTTGCTCTCGGGTTCGGTTCCTTGCTCTCGGGTTCGGTTCTTTGTTCTCGGGTTCGGTTCTTTGTTCTCGGGTTCGGTTCCTCCTGGGCGAGGTTCGGCCCTGAGAGGACCTACGACTCAGGAGGGTTCGGCTCCTCCTTGCTCTTGGTCCCTAAGAGGACCTTCGGTTCGTAATGTTCATTTTTCTCGTTTTCGCCCCGTTTTAAGCCGTTTTTGACCTGGCTAAGGGCCGGAATGACCCGAATGATTCTAAAAAGTTACGGGAACTATTTAAGAGAGATTTGGGAGAGATTTCTCACACTTGGAGAGATTTGGGAGAGATTTGACATTCTTGGAGAGATTTCTCATACAAAGAGATATTTGCGAGAGTTTTCACATACTTGGAGAGATTTGGGAGAGATTTGACATTCTTGGAGAGATTTCTCATACAGAGAGATATTTGAGAGAGATTTCACATACTTGGAGAGATTTGGGAGAGATTTGACATTCTTGGAAAGATTTCTCATACACAGAGATATTTTCGAGAGTTTTCACATACTTGGAGAGATTTGGGAGAGATTTGACATTCCTGGAGAGATTTCTCATACAGAGAGATATTTGAGAGAGATTTCACATACTTGGAGAGATTTGGGAGAGATTTGACATTCTTGGAGAGATTTCTCATACAGAGAGATATTTGATAGAGATTTGACATAGAGAGAGATAGAGTGAAAACGATTGAGAGAGGATCCATGTGTGACAATTGTGAGTGTCTGGCATCGCAATCCATGGTTTGTAAACCCTGTTAAGCCTTGTTTAAGGATCTTACACACTCCCGATGAGTATGCATCATTGCTTTATCGGTTTGGCTCGCCACGTACTACAGTTTTAGGTTAAGGAGATCTAGATGTTTGCACTTTTTGTTTTATGATTTCTCACTAGAATAGAAGTTATGTAGAAGTTTCTTAGTGTGAATCTTAGTACTCATGGGCAAATTGAGTCAAATGGTTTGACTTGCTGACTTTAGTTGACTTTGACTTGACCGAAATTTGACGGTTGTCACACAGGAGGCTCGGGGCAGTACGCCCAGCGAACTGGAATTACGCCCAACGTAGTGCCTAGGACCTTCAAACCCTAATTATGCACTATTTAAGCAACTTAAGACCCAAGGCTCTTCATCCCTTTAGCCTCCACTATACCTTAAACCCTTTTTCGAAACCCTAGCCCATATTGGTGTGTTCTTGTGAGTTGGTAACCCCCTTTTTCGAAACCCTAGCCCATATTGGTGTGTTCTTGTGAGTTGGTGAGCTTCATTAAAGGCTTGGACATTTACATATTTAAGCCCCTAAAAAGCCAAAAATAAAAGATTAATGGGCATTTTAAACCAAAACATTAAAGTTTGTAGGGCCTCAATAACATTATCTCTTCTTCAATCGATTAATTTTCAATTTAATTACTTATTGATAGGTGGGTTTTGCATTGCAATGATATATATGATGAAAACACTACAAAATAATGCACAAAGCAAGATCGCAGGATGACACGAAGAAATGGAGATCAAAAGCTAAAACGAATCAAAGAAATACGAGATCAAGAAGAAGAAAAGATAAGCCGAGGACCGAAGTGAAGTGGTGAACAACAAAGGATGGTTGTGAACATTGGACACGACGACAAAGTATTGGGCAATAAGGATGTTGTTTGGACAGACTAATCATGCATTAGTCTTTCGATCATATCTGACTCATCGGTGCTTCGATTGACACGATTCAAGTTGGCGTGGAAAGAAGACAAAATGCCCTACAATCTACATGTTTAAGTTTTTGCGAATTCTATCATTATCAAAGCCGAAATCAGCCCAGAAGTTGGAGCAATGAAAGTGTTTGAATTTGAAAATTACATGTAAAACCTTACCACCACCTTCTCACATTGTCACTAACTAAAACCTTACAATCTTACACTACCCGTGCATATCCCACATCTAAACCCTTACAATCCTAACCAAAATCCCATGCAACTAGCGTCCCTAATTTCTTGAACCCGACGTAAACAAACCACCTAATTCTCCCATGCACACACATGCATAATGAGAACCTCATTTAAACCAACTCCACTCTCACGTGAACGTTCCACCGCCTCATTACTAATAACCCATACAAACCTTTTTTTTTTTTTTTTTTTTTTTTTTTTTTAATATTATTTCACATTAGCTTATTCTATTAACCAACCATGCGTACTAATCCTTTATCCTACCCCTTGCATCCCACGTAAATCAAAAATTCTGTTTTCCTTCATCTCAATTTTCAAGGAAACCAAAACCTTTCTATCACCCTTGATGCACACGCAACCATTCTACTGTCATAATACCATTACAAAACCTTCTTAATTGCATCCCACATCGCTAATCATAAAAAATACATAAACAATCCACCCTTTTCAAGTCACCATTCGTCCCTTCAATACTTTAACAAGCATGAAGTCAACATTAGCATGAGCGGCTACTCATTTTTTTAATCATCGTAATTATGTCGGCTAAAAAAATTTGTTTTTTTTTTTTTGTTTTGTTTTGTTTTGTTTTTTTGTTTTTTTGTTTTTTTTTTTTCATTTAATTTACAACTCAATTAAAATTATTAGTTTTCTTAATTTCAAATTTATGATTGTTTTCCTATTAAATTTATGATTATCATGTTTCGTTCCTTTTTGCTTTAAACTGATTTTTCCAAAACATTTAATTTTATGTGCATCTTTAGTTTGTTGATTATTTTAAACACATAATTTAACTACAAACCCCATGTGGATGTGGATTCGACCCGACTTATCATAACCCAGACCCAAATTCGATCACTTATCAAATGAGTTGCATGGCATCATTCACCAAACAACAATGTTTTAGTAGAAGTCATGTTGGGTATATTATAGCATTTGAATCATGAGGAATGAGACTTCTAACATTTCTTTCCATTTTTCTATCACAAACATGTATTTTCCAATTTCGAGTTGTGTTTAACATGCTAACTGAAAATTTAGTTTTTGCTTCCGGTAGTTGATAAAGTCATAACGTCTGATAAAAACTAGTTGATAATGAAAATGAAAAAATATATATATAATGACATTTAGATGTATAATTAAAAACTAATGTTATATCGTACGAAACATCATTAAAATAAGTCTCAAATTCCGTCATATAAAATCAATTAGCAACAAAAGGTTTTCAATTTGGCACTCTTTTTGATAGTGTTGTTCAGTCTAATTTCAGAGTAAATAAAATCAGAGTGATGTTTTTTCACATCGACCAAACGATTGATCATGCACATTTCAAAGTAAAAATAATCACGACTTTTTTTTTTCATAAAAAAAAAAAATAAAGCAATAAGAAAGAAGAATGAGAAATTGGAGGCAAAAGAAGATTGAAGTTGCACTTGTTCTCGACGAAGGTTGTCCAGAGTTAAGAAGTAGCACATGTTGTCGAACATGAAAACAGAGGCAAAAGAAGTTGAGAAGTAGCATCTATTGTCGATGAAGGTCTGGTATAGATGAACGTATTTGTTGAAGATGAAGATGCTAAGGGCAAAGTTGTCTTTTCTATCTTTTCCTACTAATTATCCAAATTTCCGGCGGATGGTTTTGAGGACTCCATAAGGCAACCTTTTCATTTGCAATCCTTTCATTTCCTTCATTTCCATCCCATAATAAAAACTCAATTTTCCTTCACAATTTCCCTTCTTTAACGCCTTGTTATCGATTTACTTTAAACAAAGAAATCGAGGAAAGGAAGGAATTGGGAAGGAAAAATCATGTTATCGAGTGTTTTTTTGGGGAGGAAGGGGAAGGAAAGGAAGGGATTGGGAAGCAAAAAAGTTGCTTTTTGGAGTCCTCAAACCATTCTCCGAAAATTAGGATAATTAGTATGGAAAGAAAGTAAAAAACAATTTTGCTCTTGGCTTTTTCATCTTCAACAAATACATTTATCTACTTCTTAACTGTGGACATCTTTCATCGAGAACAAGTGCGACTTCGATGTTTTGCCTTTGATTTCAGGTTCCATTTCTCATTCTTTCTTGTTGCATTTTTTGGTCCAAAATAACTGGGTTGCGTATTTTTTTTTACTCCGATTTTTGAAATTAGCGTGATCAATGGTTCCAGGTCAAACGTGAATAACATCAGTCAGTTTGATTCATTTACTTTTGATCAATCCGATTTCTCTCTCGTCATAAGTTGTTGTTGTTTTTAAATTGTTGCTACGATTTCATTTTTCGGTATGGGATCGAGATTCGGTAACTGATCATCTCTGCTTTGATGAGTGTTTGAGCGGGCATACTGAAATTAGATTGTTTTTTTTTGTCTATATTAACTCATCTTTACATTAGCTTTGATTAATAGTTTAATATGTTTTAGTTTTGACACTAGCTTGACATTTATGCATGTATGCCATTTGATTTGTTAATCCATAAGACCATAACTAAATTCATCTCAACTTTTATGTTTCATGTATGCAGGCCATAAGCTAATGAATGAGTTTTTTTTTTTGTTATCATTTAAGAGTATACTTGAGAAAACTTATAATAAACTGGCTCACAAACAGCTTAACATAAAACAGACAGATTAGATAAATATATATTAAATGACCAAAACATATTGAACATAAGATAGCAAGTAAGTGGTATAAGGCATTAGTATGAGTTCAACAGCTAGGACTTGATAGTTGATAATATTCCACCAATCACCATAATCACAAATGAAACAGACAAAAGTTAGAAGTCATGTATAGTAATACTAACCTAAATGTATGTTTGGCAAACCCAAAAGCTTCAATATGCAGCCACCTCAGTAGATTTGCAGCCATCAACATCCACCCAGACTTCATTTACTCGACCAAAGAACTTAAGTGGAGAGTTATATTGTGCAATTGAGTATGCAAAGCTACTAGAAGAAGAAGTAGAGTATGGAGACTTGCTTAAACTGCTGGCTAACTTCTCAGCTTCTTCCACAATGTTGTTATCTCTTGCAAAACCAGAAAATTGGCGAACTGCTTTGCAACTGGAGGTCCATGAAACAGGGGTAAGGTTGAGTTCAGGGAGAGGAAGAGGGGGTGTGGATTGGAACTTCTCTGGCAAGTAGAAATACACGACATATGCTGATGAATCAAGGGGTCCTGCTCCAGGGACAAGGCTTGTTAACACAGGAACTGTCATTGGTACACGAGAATTGTTCAAATTTGCACCTTCAATGTACTGGAACAACCTGTAAGAGACAAGATGGGAAATTCATTAGGAGATGTACAAGTAATTATAACACGGAACATGATATACCATCAAAGGCGTTTATTAGTTTGGAACGCATCGGAGGAGTATCGTTTTTGATGCCCTAGGATCAAATTTGAAACATGAAAAATGGAAATAGGGAACTTAATCATTCAAAAGACGATGAATCGAATCCCACAGCTCATAGAATACAGAAAAAATCAAACCGGTAATCGGTAATAATAAGATAGGAAAACTATAGAGAGGAAGGAAAGGAAACCTATGGAAGCCATCTCTGGTTGCTTTTCGAAAGGAAATTTCTTTGACGGGAGCACTCATCCAAACTGAATCTGTATATAATCTGATCTCAAATTCCGATTCCGAGTGAACGACTGTGTACTGTGGTGATTCATACGCGTTGCTAAGCCCTAATATGCAGACGACGTTGACGATCGCTAATAAGAAAGACAATCTCCTCTTCCCCATGGTCGTTGCTCAGAAGGTCCGCTGCTCACCTGCTTGGCTTGGTGCAGTTGTCAGAATACTTCTAATTCGAGGATTTCGTAAGCCAGAAATGATTCAATACAACATTATAGTTAAAAATCATAAACATTAAACAATAGTGTAAAACTAGGATTTTTACGGGCAGACTATGAACTTTTTTATTAGCAATAAAATTTAGGATGTAAAACACCAAAACCATGTATAGAAAATTAGGATGACTTAAAAGATGTAAAAACACAAAAGTAATGTTTAAAAATAAGGACAAAATCGTAAAGAAAAAATTACGTCAAAACATAGATAAAACCTAAATTCAGATTGATACGTATATAAAAAACAATTAAAAAAAATTAATGAATGAAAGTTCTAAAGTTACACCAAAACGTTGACCATTCGAATTTATATTCTGACGTATACAAAAAAATATACACCTAACAAAGTAGTAGATTTTTTTTTTATATATATTTTAAACTTAAAGAATTTTACAAAATTCAAAACCAAATGAGTCACACTAACATTTTACAAAGTCTGAAGTGCTAATTGTAAGAGAATCAAAATATGTATACTATGGGTAGTAAACATGATAGTTTGAAGATAAAAAGAGTGAAAGTGACATTTTAGAAAGTTCAAAGTTAAAAGAATAAATACATATTGTAAAAAGTAGATTGATGAAAAATACATTTTAAAAAGTTCAAGATTGGTAGAAGTAAAACTGATATTTTAGAGAATATAGAATGAAAATGTCATTTTACAAAATAGAAGAGTGAAAGATAGGAGCACAAAGTAGAAGGGTTAACCAAAGCTCCTAGAAAACTCCACCAACTTTGATTTTTAGAATAAATATAATTATAAAGCGTGTAACGGTCCAAAAATATTAAGTAAAAATTCCATCTAGAAAAAAAGGTTAAAGCCATTCATTCATTGTTCTAAAAGAAGATTAGAGTCAAAGTATTCTCCAAACATTAGAGTAATCTTTAAACATTCTGTGCAGAATAAAACTCCAGGGGATGCAGTGTGATCAAGCCGAAACTTTCCTTTTGAAAAACGAAGTACCTAAAACTATAAACATAAACAGTAAACATAAAACTTAGTGAGTTTTCCCAAAATGCCACATACAATACATATTTACATATAATCACATGTGGGTGTGTCATGTCTGTATTAACCCCATATGGCAGCATATAGCTGTGTTGGGTCCGTATCAACCCCGGGTCCATATCAACCCGTATGACAACAAGTAACTGTGTCAGGTCCATATCAACCTCGAGTCTATAATGACTCTATATAACAACGTGTAGCTATGTCAGGTCCGTATCAACCCCACATACATAAAACATACAACCATATCAGCAAGAGTCACAAAGACAACAGACACATACAAGTATATCAATAAGTGTCATAAAGACCATTACTATTCGACAACATAATCCAGTGGGCTGGTATTGGTGCTTTCGACCCACAAGTACAGTGATGAGAGCCACCTTAATTCGAGATAACCGAAACACACACGTGTTGCTGCCACTGGGTTCCTCACACCGAACACATCAAATTTATCCTTAATTAATAGTTAGGACAATTTCCTATCACTCAAGGTCCAATTCATATATCCTCATAACCATTGGTAAAAGACTAATTTACCTTTCCTATACTTATCCCAACAAAGCAAGGCCCAAACTCAAAATGACTCAAGCCTAAAAATGGCCCAAAAGCCATTCAGGTGGGCAGGCCCAGCGTACGATGTTGAAGCCCAATATCATTTCCAAACCTCTTAATGCCTTTAAGACAACAAGCATAACTTCCAGATCTGATTCTTATGGGATGTCCCAAGTCATAAAGTTCCTGACTTTATGACTTTGCATGGCTTAATGACGCCCAAACCAAAGCCTTAAATCTCTAACTTCAACAAAAGACCACTAACTTACGCATGGAAGGAATAGAAGGACCAATATCATATTTTATGGTTCTTAATAACTCCATAATGGATAAAGTTTCCAACTTTATCCATTAGAATGGTCCAAACAACCAAGATCTAGTCTTTATGTCTCAAAGGGACCAAAATTGCATCTTTTTCAACTTAATTCATTAAGTCCAAGTCTCCAACCTTTAGTTTTGAAGCAAAATGATGTTTAGATGGATACATTTTCTAACTTTATCTATAACAAGGTCACAAACTTTCAAGATCTAAACTTTATCCACTAAAGTGACCCAAAGCTCATAACACCCAAGAGTAGCCAGATCTGTCAAATGCATCATTAAGATTCAAACTTTATACATCTAAAAGAAAGATCAAGGTGGAAAAAGTCTGGATCTACAAGCTCCAATGAAACCAACTCATCTCCAATGAGCTCCTTCTTCTCCAAGATGCACCAAGAACACTCCAAAGCACTTAAAAACACATTCTTTTTGCTCACAAGGTTTAAGCGAGGGCTAGGGTTTCAAGGGAGGGTGTTGGAGAGGTGGAGGGTGAGAATGGAATGAGTTTAGGGAAGTTAAGGAGCTTAAATATGGCTTAAACCACGAAAATAGGGTTTGAGCACTGATCGCGTACACCCAACATACTCTATTATTGCCTAGTAAGCCCAACGTACTCCAGGTACGCCCAACATACTAGACTAAGTCCCAAAATCTTCCTAACTTCAAACGGTCATAACTTTTTCGTTCCAACTCCATTTCGATGATCTTTATATCAACATAAAGTTATTATGTAGCTCTACAATCCTATTTAATTACTTTTAAATTAAACAGGTCGAACTAAAATCGTTAATTCATAAAAAAAGTCTGAAACAACACGTTTCCCATTATACCCTTGGCTCTAAATCACAAACCAAACTATTGGATCACATAATCTATATTACCCACATCCAAATGGGTCTAAATCCTATTACCTTGAAGCCTAATGTCTTTACTTGATCCTTTTATTGTCCACAATCCCGAAATAAGAATATTCTCGAAACAAGATGTTACAAAACGATCCCTCAAATTTTAAAAATTCATTTTAGTCTACTTTGAGTTCTACAACGAAACAATTGATGGTTTTATTTTGTTATTGATGAGTACGTAGCCTCATAAAGGGATCTGGAACTAAAACACAACTTTGATCTTGTGACAGTAGTACCTCTGATAAATGGTTAGTTGTATCATGAGTTTCCAAAGTGTACAACTAGTCCCTCCTTTGGTTTAACTTTACATATTTAAATAGGATTGAGTATAGGCCAGTTTAGATAAAATCGAACCCAAAACCAATACATTCGGTTTTGGGTTTGAAAACCATTGGGTTCGGTTTCATGGGTAGCTTTGCGGTTTTTCGTGCTTAACCCATGGGTTTTAGGTTTGAATACGTTGGTTTTGAGTTTTAACCTATTTTACAACAATTCTAAATAATATGAAACAAATTCAACCAATGCCAAACAAAAAGACTAAAACCAATCAACTAGGTAAAAAAAAACATTTTAAAATACAACTAGTTTAAAGAAACTAGGGAATATTAAAAATTAAAACTATTTGATGGGTTTTGGGTTTAAACCTAACTACTCGTGAGTTTGGGTCAACTTTTATTTAGTTTTAAAACTATTGGGTTGGTTTCGTTTAAGTGGGTCCGTTTAATATGTAAACACAACCCAAATTGAATTTTTCAGTTCTGAAAACCGTAAACAGACGGTTTGGGTCCGATTTTGATTTTTCAGTTTCGGTTTTGGTTTTTGTTTTGCACAACACTATATTATGTGTAGAAAGTTGTAGAGTTGTCAATCATTAACCATGTTCTCAATATTTTTTTAATGAAGGAAATGGAAGGAAAATTATGTTCTTGAGGGGTTCTTTTTTGGGGAAATGACACATTAGCCCTATAATGTATTGCAAATTTGCCCATTCAGCCCCTTAAGTTTTTTTCCGTGCTTTATTAGGGAAAAAACTTGTTAGTAACCTGTCCATTTAGTCACATGGATCTCATTTAACCGGTTACTAGCTCCACGTAATCCAATTAATCCATATCAACATTTACGTGGATCAAACGACATCGCCTTAAGTAGGGAGTCTTATTATCCAAACTTTGGATTGTTTGTTACCCGTGTGCCTATAAAAAACATCTTATCTCCCTAAAAGGATCATACGCTAAAAGGTTGTTGCCCTAATTACACACAAGAGTTCCTACCCTAACGACGAACAAAATGCCTTTCGTTAACTCTCCCCGCCACAACTCGTGTTTAAAGATTGTCGCCACATCACCGCCAATGGGTCAAATGGAGCCCAACCTCAAGACATCCAGATAACACTCCTCCAAATACAACTAGAGGTCTATTAGATCAGGGATGAAGTGAATGGAAACCAATGTGAGCTTACAGATAATTTGAGTATTGGGATAAATGAGCTGAATCATGAAGTTGATGATGTCAGAGCAGGGAAGCTGGATATGTACCACATGATAAATGACCTCAGGAACCATTTTTCTTATTGCAATCTACATTTGTGAAGGCAACCACCGAGTTAACGACAATGAAGAAGAAAATATGTGTATTCACATGTGTGTTTTTGGATGTTAGGCGTTGTGGGTATGGTGATGATAGCCAACGAATAATTCTGATGATGGGGTACTTAGTTTTCTTTGTTTGGGTTTTGGATTTTAGGAGGAAATGGTTGGGTTTTAGGGGTAAATGTTTGGTTTGTATGGGTAAGATGTTATTGTATTTTGGTTGTCCTGTGGTCTAATCTATGATCTTTTTATGCATATGGGTGCGAAACTTAGATGCCATTTTGTTGGTTGTTTAATTTTATTTAGGAAGTAAATCGTGTATGATGTCATGCAAGTTCGAAACCTAGATCAATGAAAACATAGTAACTTTATCTATGTATTGATTCCTTATTTTATTACATGTCAAGGCAACCTGTAGGACCCAAATTTGATAGTTGTTCATATGTAGTTGTATTTTCAGGAAATATTTGTTTTTGTTTGATATGCGGTGTTGGGACCACATTGTCTAAAGGTTGTGAAATGATAAATATGGCAAAAGAAAGGGACAACGGGGACCTCAACCCCTATGACTTCACAACACAATAAAATAACCCAATTTGTATATGGACAAAAAGTTCTAAAAAGGGAATAAAAACAAAAGGAATGTTGCAACTGAATACTAATGTTTGTAATGTGTCCTTTTCCTAAAGCTCTTGAATATTGTG